CCGCACTCCAGTCTGGGAGACAGAGTGAGTCTCCAACTCAAAAAAAAAAAAAAATTGAGCAGGCAGAAGAGAAAAAAGAAGAGATGGTCAACAGATGATATGGCATTAAACTTCAGCAGATGATACTGGTGAGTATTAGAGATAAACTGATCTTGTCACATTCGGCTGCTCACTTGGACTGTAAATTTCAGGGTAGACTCACACTGACCTTTGAATTACTGATTAAATAATTAACCTAACTACACAGCTCTGAGATTTCTCTCTCAGTGAAATAGCCCCAGGAATTTACAGTAAGAAACGTTTTTTTGAATGTAGAAGCTATTTAAAGAAAAAAAAGGAATCTGGCTAGAAATTATTTAAAGACTTTGAAGGAGCCTTTAACTACATTGTCTAAACACCTTATTTTATGGATGATGAAACTGAAGCCCAGAAGGTTTAAATGGCTTGCCCATCCCAGCTATGTATAACCAAGGCTGCTAAAACAGGCATGTTCAATTTCCCAGGCTAGATTTCCACCATGCCAAACGGTCATCCCTTTGTCTCAAACATATTAATTTAGCAGACATCCTTTCTGTACTTCTTTTTTTTTTTTGAGTTGGAGTCTCACTCGGTCGCCCAGACTGGAGTGCAGTGGCCGCTTCCGGCCACCGCAGCCTCGACCTGCTGGGCTCCGGGCGATCATTCCGCCTCAGCCTTCCAAGTAGCTGGAATTACAGGCATACGCTACCATGCCCGGCTGATTTTTTGATTTATTGTAGAGATGAGGTCTCGCTGCCCAGGCAGGTCTCGAACCCGCGGGCTCAGGCAATCCACTCACCTCAGCCTCCCAAAGGCGCAGGATTACAGGCTGAGCCACTGAGCCCGGCTCCTTTCTGTACTTCTTAAGTCTTATTATTCAGTTTATAAAGAGTTGTTAAACAGATGGAACCTAATTTCCTAATGTGGCTGCCATAGGTGTTATTTTCTGGTCCACTACTTAGCTTTGCCACTGTAATTAGAACCTAAGAATTCACATGTACACACTACACAAGAATCACTCATTTCCCATCTCTTCCTTTTTTTTCCTCCAATTCAAATAAAATCTATGTTTTGCTAATTCTGAAGTACCCATTCATTCATATCATCTGTAGCATAAAAGTAACAAATCTAGATTGCTGATATCATTTTCTCTTTTTTAGCTTTAATCTCATAACAAATTATCTCTTACTTTTAAAAATGGTGAATCTTCCAACATGTCAAGGAACTCAGGGAAATAATCTCCCACTTCTTCATCAACTGCTCCCACCAGGCTTATTTGTCGCATTGGGCCAGCTCTGTAAGTACCATGAGAATACGTTCTTTTTACCTAAAGAATATGGATTTAATTAAAGGTTACACTTAAGCTTGCCAACACTATGTAACAATAAATTATGTTGTCTCAGAATATTATATCATAATATGAGGCAAACAAAACAAAAACCTTTACTAACAATAATCAATAATTAATTACAAGAAAAACTTGCACTAAATCAATTTTCTCTAACTATTCCCATACACTGCTTATAAAGATACAGTTCAGATAAACAGCATAAAGAACATCTCCTTATAACACGTGAGTTCATTATCTGATCTATAATGCCACTGAAATTACATTCAAAAGCTGATATATCTGCATTTTTTAAAGTGATGGTTCGCTCGTATCTTTTTATTAGAATTTTCCAAAGTAAACCCTCTAAAAATGTTACATTTAACCATCACCAGTAGTTTGTATGTTTACAGGCCACTGAGGATGATCCTCCTTTCAAGATCTTACCAATTGAATGAGGATCCAGTTTATACTCTTACCAGTTGAATGAGGATCCAGTATATAATTATAATTTTCATTATAATCCAGTTTATAATGAAAAAGTACTAGAAATTGAGAATCAGGAATTCTAAGATCCAAACCTTTGTTATCTGCCAGCTATATGACCTTTACATTCCTTAAACTCTAGTTTTCTTAACTGAACTTAATAATTACATAAAGTCACCTATCACAGAACTAACAAATGGGTGGCATTCAAATAGCCAAAATAAGCCAGACTGCATCTCACAATTCACTGATACCTGAATTTTCGGAAGGACATTTTAATCCTGATAAAAAATCCTGAAAAAGAAACCTAGGTGTTTTCAGACATGAAAGTCTTTATAAAAACTTTTTATTCTTAACTATGTTTAGAAAAAAAAATGAGTTAACAAGTCAAGACTTAAGCTAAACAACTTTTCCATAAACTTTAAGCAAAAAACTAATTATCTTTTTCTCTGGATTAGCTTTTGTAGCCACTAAATTTAGGAGACAAATTCATCCCAGTTGCCCAGGAATATCACAGTTTTAAAACTGAAAGTCTTGTATCTCAGACAAACCTGGATGATTAACCTTTCATCACACCATAGAAACAAATTATAAAAGATATTCTCAACAAAAGCTGAATCCTCACAACCACAGCTAGTAGAGTATCACAATGTAACAAAGTATCTAAACCCTAAGGCACGTATTCCCACAACAGAATAATTAAGACAGAGAATTCTATTATCATAATCAGCAAAGCAGTATAAAAACACACAGATTCATTAATGTTTATTTACTAGAATTTCAAGCTTAAGTTTTCCTAAACTGTCAAAAATTCTTACATCTCAGAACCACAAACCATTCCTCCAAGTCCCAAGTTAAAAAATTTGGGAGCCAGGCACTGTGGTTCATGCCTGTAACCCCAGCACTTTGGGAGGCAGAAGCGAGACGACTGCCTGAGCCCAGGGATTTGAGACCAGCCTGACAACTTGGCAAGACCTCATCTCTACGATAAATAAAAAAATTAGCCAGGCATGGTAGCACATGCCTATAGTTCCACCTACTTGGAAGGCTGAAGCTGAAGGATCACCTGAACCCAGCAGGCCGAGGCTGCACTGGCCATGAGCATGCCACTGCACTCCAGCTTGGGCAACAGGGTGAGATGCTGATTCATTAAAAAAAAAAGAATTTGGGGTCCATGCCACCATGCTGTACTCACAGTCTCTTCTTTTTCCTGTCTCCTAAAAGTTCCTATCATCTTCTATACTGAGAGAGCAAAAAAGTTAAAACCCAACTCTAGATGTTGACATGCATTCGTTGTACTAGAATAAGAAAATCAGTCATCAGTATGCATTTCTGTAATGCAGTCTAACACAGCTAAGGGTATCAATCTGAACACTAGCAAATTCACCAGATTATAACACACTAATTTTGTTAAGTGACTCTAAGTTTGTGGTCTCAGTTTTGAATCTGCAGATAACTATAGGAGTTTTAAATTTAAATATTTTAAAAAATAAATTTGAATAAAACAGGTATTATTGAACAACAGAAAAAATGAGTAAAACTTGAGTGCTAAGAGTACAGACAAATGGCATGTTGGGTCTTAAATACTTTACTAACTTTGACTAGACGATGCTACTTTAGATTAGAATACTCAAATTGATTGAAAGAGTATTACTAACCTAGCCATCGCATTTCATTCAAATTAGACATTTACTTTAACTTCTTCAACTTTACAAATGTTACTCTGTGTTTAACAATAAAGCATATGTCTAAATTAGTACAGACCTACACATTACAATTTTTAACATAATAAATAATGAATAAATCAGAATGTGATTTTCTCCCTATCCTGAGTCTAGTTTGGAGACTACTTTAAGAAGAGGCTGTATCTTGTGATGATTGTTTTAAGTATGGTCCTATTAAAATGCATAAATATGTCAAAGGATGTTTTTGAGAACCTAAGTTTTTAAAGTAATAAAAACATTACTCAGATTATGTTCTTAAATATCCTAATTGAATCTTTATAGTTCTTATCTCATGGCAAAATACATACAAATACATATAGATTACATGTAAAACTCCTTTATACATATAACTATAACAAAAGTAAAAGTCTCTCTTCCTTTTAAACAAAATGTACAAAAATTATAAAGTAGATCCTTTTTTCCCACTATTAAAACCAAAGGTAAATTCTACTAGGATATTTGGTCTTTATAAAAACTTTATATTCTTAACTATGTTTAGAAAAAAAAAAAACAGTAGCCGGGCTCAGTAGCTCAGCCTGTAATCCCGCGTCTTGGGAGGCTGAGGCAAGTGGATTGCCTGAGCCCACGGGTTCGAGACCCGCCTGGGCAACCTGGTGAGACCTCATCTCTACAATAAATCAAAAATTAGCGGGGTGTGGTAGCGCGTGCCTGTAGTTCCAGCTACTTGGAAGGCTGAGGCAGAAGGATCGCTGGAGCCCAGCAGGTTGAGACTGCAGGGGCCAGGAGGGTGCCACTGCACTCCAGTCTGGGTGACAGAGTGAGACTCCAAATCAAAAACAAAAAAACAGTAATTTTCCTCCATAATATTTATTCTCCAAATAGTAAAGATAAAACCATGAAAACCCAAATGAATAGATATAAACATATTTAAATTTAAAACTAAATATTGAAAATTTTAAGCTGAAGCTAATCAGTATCTTAATTTGTAAAGGCTACCTAAATTTCTTATTTATTTATTTATGAGTTGCGGTCTCACTCTGGCATGGATCATGGCTCACTACAGCCTCAACCTCCAGGGCTCAGGCAATCCTTCTGCCTTAGTCTCACAGGTAGCTAAGACTACAGGTGCACACCACCACGCCCCAGCTAATGTTTTCTTTTTTCCTTTTTGTTGTAAAGGTAAAGTCCTGCTATGTTGCCCAGGTTGGTCTCAAACTCCTGAGCTCAAGCAATTCTCCTGCCTCAGCCTCCCAATTTGCTGGGATTACTACAGGCATGAGCCACATGCCTGGCTTGAATTTTAAAATGTATTGTAACACAACTTTTCATTAAATACTATTTCAAACTTCTTTCTAGTTTAATAACCCAGTACTTCAAGCCTGTACTAAATCAGTTGTAACCACTAATTTAATGTTTTAAGCATAGCAAATTACACAATGTTTCAAATTCAAAACATACATCACTTGATGAAATATATAGATGGCATTTAAGCTGTTAAAGCAAAATACAAGAATAAAATTCACATGCTTTTCACAAAAATGTAAATACTTCTTGATTTTGGTGACATGTCTTATTATGGTACTACGTATACCAAATATATAGAATTTGCCTATTACATAGAAAAAAATCATATCTACAATATCAAAAAAAAAAAAAAGCACACAAAGCCTCAATTCTTTAAAAATCACCTATGTGGACCATGAAGGACTAAAAGGACTCAAGAGCCATGGGGTGGGAGGAGGGAACAGATAAGGATTGGAAGAATCTCTAAATAGGCAAAATAAATGCCACAAAGACTTTGGCTTATAAAAGGTCATCTTCTTACTTATATGTTCCCATTTATTCACAATTGTAACTAATCTCTAAAATCGTAACAGACAAAAAACTACAAATTTAGAAGGCAGGGTAAGTACAGCTACAGCTGCTCTAGGGTATCAGTATTAAAACATCATGAAGATAAACCACGACTGGAAAGAAAGTTAATTCTGGTGCGTATGTTCAGTAGAGGAGGTATCTTTATAACAGTCTTGGTACTTAAAACTGTATGCTTCCATTATCTCGGAAAAATCACTTTTCCGGAAAGCCTCACATCCTGATGGTGCTGGATATGATCTTACTGTATTTGCTTTTATTCACTTCAGTAAACATTAAACAAACGAGTTTTCTGATGCGGTTAAAAAATTAACCTGAAAAAATCAAAACACGTCACTGTTTTAAAACATATTTACTTCCTAAAAAAGAAATGCAATAAATTACAAAGACCACACATATGACTTCTCTTGATTTAGTTAAAAATTTCTCAAAAAGAATACATTTTTGAAATTTTAAAATACTTTTGTAAAAGCTTATATTAAAATAGTGCTCTTTAGAAGAGATGTAATATTTTGAATCTATGTTTCTTCCTTACAGTCACCCACCCATCCCCAAAACCCACAACCTTCATGGTCACATTCTCACTTTTCCCCTGTGTATTCTCTATACATGTTATAAAGAAAAAGAAAAAAGTAGGAAGTAAGAGGCTGACTGTACTCGTAGACAATAAGTGACAATAACAAAATCTTAGAAGTTCTGGTTAACAGAAAATGAATTAATTAAATTATATTTAAACTAAAACTCTATTCATTACTCCTAACACAATCTTTAAGGCCCAGCTTGTAATCCCGCATACCTTGGGAGGCTGAGGTGAGTGGATTGCCTGAGCCCGCGGGTTCGAGACCCACCCGGGCAGGCGAGGCCTCATTTCTACAATAAATCAAAAAAAAATTAGCCAGGCATGGTAGCGCGCGCCTATAGTTCCGGCTAATTGGAAGGCTGAAGTGGAAGGATCGC